TTTTTTTTTTTTTTTTTTTTTTTTTTTTTTTTTTTTTTTTTTTTTTTTTTTTTTTTTATTTATTAATATAAATATACGGCCGCTGTATAACGGGCCGCCGTCTTTGTATAACAAAAACCCTAAACCCTAAACCCTAATAAACCCTAATAAACCCTAATAAACCTTTTTTCCTGAATATTTTTCTATATAAGATAAATAATCAAGACGAACTTGTGATGATTTATAACGGTCTATATTTATTTTAGATAAAAAAGAAGAATTTAATTGTCCTCCTGTATATCCTGCTTTTTTTACCTATATATATAAATAAATAAATAAATAAATAAATAAATAAATAAATAAATAATATATATAATAAACCCTAATAATATAAACCCTAGGATAACCTTTTTGTGTTTGTTTGTGTGTTGGAGAAAGAATACATTAATAGGAGGAAATAGAGGAAAAAAAAAAAAAAAAATTGCTAAACCCTAAACCCTAATAAACCCTAAACCCTAATAAACCCTAATAAACCCTAAACCCTCTTACCAAGGAAGCAATTGTCTCCTTTTTTGTCATCCCTGTCTCTGCTGCTACCTCTGGCAGATACGTAGCCTCATATCTTCTCATTCCTCTGCAGACAAAACCCTAAACCCTCATAAACCCTAAACCCTAATCCTACAGTAAGTACCGATACAAAATGATAAAGTAAAGAAGAAATAATTAGGGTTTAGGGTTTAGGGTTTAGGGTTTACGTTCTGCCTGGTGCGGTGAATCGAATGATTATGCCATGAACGCCAATCTCCCAATCGTATATATCCTTTGCTCGCTGCAACACAAACCCTAAACCCTAAACCCTAAAACCCTAAAACCCTAAACCCTAAACCCTAGTGTTTATTTCCTATACTCTAAACCCTCAAACCCTCAACATCTAAATCTTCATCATCTAATGAACATACCATGAACTGCAACCACCGCCCCCTTAAACCCTAAACCCTTAAACCCCCAAAAACCCTAAACCCTCATAAACCCTAAACCCTCATAAACCCTAAACCCTAAACCCTAACCTCGAAGCTATGCAGTAAGGAGACATGACATTTAAGATCAGGAATTTCAGAAAGAGTGATTGGACTAAACCGCGAATCTTGCAGAGCGCTAATTAAGGCATAGTCCTCTGTACACCACAAACCCTAAACCCTAAACCCTAAACCCTAAACCCTAAACCCTTAAAAAAATATATACCATGTATTCTAAACACTTATTTAGATTCTTTGAAGGAAAAGGGTTTGCAACAAGGGTTTATGATGGAGGCACTATTCAGTCTTGACTGGCTTATTATAAACCCTAAACCCTAAACCCTAAACCCTAATTGGCGTACTTAGTTTCATGATAGGAATAGGCTTTAAGGATCCAATACATCCCCTTAGATCTACATTATCTTCTCTAAACCCTTCTTTGCTGCTGCTGCTGCTGCTGCTGCTGCTGCTGCTGTTGCGTCTCTTCATCCATGTAACAAAAGCAGGTGTACGTACACCTAAACGATGTAAGGATACAATAGAGGGAGGAGGAGGAGGAGAGGAAGAATTAGATTCCTGCATATAATATATAAACCCTAAACCCTAAACCCTAAAATATAAAATCCAAAATCTAAACCCTAAACCCTAAAATCCAAACCCTAAACCCTAAACCCTAAACCCTAAACCCTAAACCCTAAACCCTTCTTACATCGAAGTGAGCTATAAGGGTGTCAAACATCCAAGCGCACATTGACTCATCCGCCTCAATTGTCCCGTCATGTTTTGCAGCATCTGTACACAAACCCTAAACCCTAAACCCTAAACCCTAAACCCTAAACCCTAAACTCTGAAATATATATCGAGTGTTGAATGTTTAGGGTTGACAGTCTCAATGATAACAAAGTAGCAGAATTTATATTTAGGGTTTACAGACCATCAATTAGGGTTTAGGGTTTAGGGTTTACGAATTAGGGTTTAGGGTTTAGGGTTTAGGGTTTACCATGGCTATCGATGGCCTTGGCATTACGAGAAGTGCCAATCGCTGCATCTTCTGCCTCTATGTGCATTATACCCTCCCCCCTTTGCTGCTGCTGCTGCTGCTGCTGCTGCATTAGCTGCTGCTGCTGCTGCTTGAGTATGAGCTGCTGTTCCTGCTGCTGCTGCTGCTGCTGCGTCACCCGCAGCCGCTGCAGCTGCAGCGCCAGCTGCTCAAGTTGCTGCTGCTCCTGCTGCAGCTGAGCTTCCTGTTGCAGCTGGTCCTCGAGTTGCTGCAGATCCAATAAAGGATCCTGCTGCTGCTGCTGCTGCTGCTGCTGCTGCTCCTGCTCC